CCACCCTGGCCAGCCCAGCCCCACCTGATGTCCCCAGCAGCGATGAACACCGGCTCCCGGCTCTCCTGGCTGGTGATGCTGTCCACAGAGAACTGGGAGATGTTGTCACAGCTATTGGTGTGAATCTCTGGCAGCTGGGAAGGGAAAAGCACATGAGGTGTGATGTGGTGGCTGATGAACCGCAATTCCCACCCCCTTTTATCCCAGGCAGGGATGGGGCCACCACCTGGAAGGGCCTTCCCATCCCACCTGTGCCAGATCCCAGAATGTCTGGAGTTGGAAGGGACTTTAAAGATCATCGAGCTCCAACTCCCCTGCATGGGCAGGGACACATCCCACCAGAACAGGCTGCTCAGACCCCCCATCCAACCCACCCGAGGGACGAGCCCCCGAGGCAGCCCCGGCCTCACCTCCACCTGCAGCTCCACGATGTCGTCCACAGACCAGGCCTCGTCGTCGTTGTCGTAGTTGGGGACGGTGCTGAAGCTGCTGGTCCTCTGCTCGTGGCTGATGCCGCACTCGGGCAGGTTCTCGGCCGAGCGGGTGCTGCGGATGCGGTTCTCGGGGATCCGAGCGGGCACGTTCGCTGTGTCGAAATTGTCACATTCAAGCACTTCAACGTAGATTAAATAGGGAGCCTGGGGGAGCAGAACCAGGTGTCAGTGGGCAGCAGCTGCTGCACCTGCCGGGCGGCTCCAGGAGGCAGCTCAGACCTTTCTGCTGGGGGGGTTGGGATTTTTTTGGCATATGGGTTTTTTGGAGGGCAAAGCTGAGCTTTTCATGGCTGTGGAACAGCCCCCGGGGGGTCTAGGACAACCCTCCACTGCCAACTCTCCTCCAGGAACCTCAGTGCTTATTAGCAGAGCTGTGCCACTGCCCTGATGCAGAGATGTCCTGCCCCAGAGATGTCCCTTCCTGCCCCCCCATGACAGGGCTGGACCTCCCCAAGGCCCCCACAGAGCCCATCTCAGGGGACACTCACTCTCAGGGCCATTTCTCCCCCTCCCAGCTGCCTGCACAGATCCCTGTGCCCATCACTCCCACCCCTGGAAGCCATAACGCAGCCCTCGGGACACCCCGAGTGTTTCTTCTCCTCACCACCCCCACGAGGGACAAACCCCCCCACCCCCCCCCAACCCTTCCCTTTCCAAGGAAGAGCTGCTCCCTCTCCCAGGCTGCTCTCCCACCTTGTCCTTGGAGTTGAGGACCACTGCCTGGGTGTGGGGTACCCGCACCACGTGGTGGTCGAAGCCGGCAGTGGGGAGCCAGGCGCGCGCCGGCAGCTTGTGGTTGAGCAGCGAGAGCTCCGAGATGAGCCGCTGGGTCTTCTGCTCCTTGGTGGGCAGGGTGGCCAAGCGCTTCCCGATGGCGATCAGGGACTTGATGAACTCCCGCTCGGGGGCGAGTCTGACGGGCTGGACAGACAAGGGCAACAAAAGGTTTGGGGGAGGAGGGTAGGGGAGCGTTACAAAGGCTGATTAAGGCACCAGGGGTTTCACAACCGGGCTCTAACAGCAGTGGGAGGGATTCCAGAGACAGAGGCTCTTCCCTCCCACCCTCTGCCCCACTCTTGGATGATGCTCCCGTGACCGGAGAGCCGGGCTCAGCATCCGGAAGCAGAGCAGGATCTGAGCACTTTTCCCCTCCCGTTGTGCTGCCCAGAAATCCTCCCCCCTGGAATCCCGGAGCCGCCATCCCTGCCGGAGCCCGCAGAGGGAGCACAGCCCGGGCTCTGGTTCCCTCGGCCCGGGCTCTGGTTCCCTCGGCCCGGGCTCTGGTTCCCGAAGCCGCAATCGCGGCTCAATTCGACCATTTTGCAAAGATCAAACGGCGCTCGGGAGAGGCCCCCGCACCTCGAGCCGAGCTCTGCTCGACTCCTTCAAGCTTTTCAATCAGAACAACAAACGATTGCAGCTGATTTTTGCCATTTAAGATGCGGAATTAAACTTGCAAGGTGCTCACTGGACAATCATGCTGGAGATGCACATGCAAAAAGCTACGGAGCGTGAGAAAAAGAAGCAAATTAAAAACATGGGAGAGCCAGGAACGGCCACACAGCAAAATAAAGGGATGGGAAAAAGAGAAGGATCAGTCTGGAGGTTCCCTTCTGGGAAAGGGCGTTTGTATCTGTAGTCCACGTCAAAAATCCTTCCGAAAAAAATACTTCCTGTCCTTCCCTCCACTCTGCTCTCCTGCCCACCCTGCTCGCCAGCACAGCCAAGGAGTCCTGGGGACAGGAGGAACCACTGGCACAGCAGCTGAGGCTGTGACACCCCTGTCACCTGCCAGGCAGAGGGCACAGATTTACAGCCCAGCAGCACCAGCTCCATTTCTGGTCCATGGATGCTCTGCTCCTTCTGACAGCTCTTCCATTGAACCTGCATGGCTGAGAGGTCCCTGCTTCTCTAAGGACCTTCTGGTGGGAATTTGGGATTGAGCCCAGGTGGAGTGACTGCAACCAAAGTCCTGGTTCAGACCAGTATCGACCTGTGTCTCCCAAGCACGTGTCCTTTACACCCCTTCTTCTCCAGGGAGCCCAAAGCATCTCCTGAAGCATCTTCTCCCTGGTTTACAGCAAGTAGAGTGAAGCTGTGCCAGCTCCAGGAGCATCCCAACGCCTCCATCACCATTCTGCACCTCTGATGTCCACGTTCTGGTTGAAAACCTTCAGGTCTCAGCTCCTCCGGCCAGAAACATGTGGCTGGGAAACATCCTCCCCATCCCATCTCTCTCAAAGACATCCCACCAAACTCTGCTCTGGTCTTTGGCATTATCAAGGGACCCAGGACATGAAGTTCCCCATCCTGTTCTGGACAGACAGCTCTGGAGAACTGCACCAGCTCCACTGGGGCTGTTCCTGGCTGAGGCACCGTGGGAAATGTCTTCAGTCTCCCCAGGAGCTCAAAGCTGGAGCTGCTGCTGTCCCAGCTCATGGACATCACAGTCCTCAAGCAAAGCCAAGATGATGGAAGCTGTTCTTCCCTCATCCTACCACCCGAAGGATCCTTCTGTTGCCCTGAGCCAACACAAATATTTACCTTCTACTTTCTACTACAGCAAAACATTTCACTGGCAGCGCTTGGAATAAACACACGTTCCTGTTCCTAAACTAGGCAGGGTTTGTGGTTCTGTTCTGCTAAGAGACACTCCAGGGGTGTCCTTCTCCCCATGTGGGTTCAAACAGCTTTCCAGGACTGGGCAGGGATGGTGGCATGGATCAGCTGCAGGTCCAGGCCATGTGTGAGGGGCTGGCAGAGCTCTGGCTGGTGGTGCCAGAGGCAGTACGACGAGGCTGCTCCAGGTTCCCAGCCCTCACATGGAGCTGGTTTTGCCTGAGTGAAGTTTAAACATCTCAAAACCCAGGGGGACCAGTAGGTGTTTCCCATCTGGATGCTTTCCACCTGCCCTCACCCTGACATTCCATCCCTCCTCTGCTCAAACCACCACATTTTATCACTTCAGAGTTTTAACCAGCAAAACCGTGGCCGTCCCCACTCCTGCTGCCCATGGGAGTGAGACCCACCCGATCTGCTCTCAGCTGGAAACTACTCAGCAATGAGGACCTGAGCTGCTGCTGGTCCCCTCAGCTCCCATCCCTGTCCTGGCAGGTCACTCACAGCTCAGTGCTGGCACCCACAGTGGGTTTATCAATGTGGCATAAACCCTCACAAAGAGCCCCGTGAAGCTGCCCCTGCCTGAAGAAACAGCCTGGGCTGGGGAAAAAGGTCTCTCTTGCCACCAGCTGGTCCTGGGTGACATGGTGGAGGTGGCTGAGGTGATGGCAACCTGCCGTGCCCGCGAGCTGGCACCAGAGTGACAGCACCAGGGGATGAGACTTTGGCCAAGAAGAACAGGAGGGGACAAAACCAAAGTGACTTCCTTAAAGTCGGGTGGGAAACTGTGACTAAGAGCCTGGTGTCCTACTTCCCACCAACCCACCTGCCAGGACCCACAGTGCCTGAGCATCCACCATCCCATCTGGCTCTTAAAACCAGAGGAGTTGGAGGAGATTTATAAAAAGGAGGAGCCTGCACTAGGGTGTGCTTGGGTTGAAACCTCGTGCCTTGAAGGTGTCCACAGCACGGAGGCTCCTGCCTGCACAGAAGGTGGGAAAATGTCCCTTCTGAAGGCCCAGAGGGATGAGAGCTGGGAATGAGTCAGGGAATGGATTGTGAAGGCTCCAAAGGCTGGAGTTCATCATGACAACCTGTCCTGGAGGATGGTCTGTGCGAGGCAGAGCTTCCCAGGGACGTGGTTTTGACCATGGACTACACATCCAATGTGTGGAGCCTGCTGGGAATCCCAGAGGAGAACACACACCCACTGGCAGGAAAGTGGCACAGATGAGCAAGATGCTACTGATTGGGAAAAAAAATAAAAGTCATGAAAAAGACTCATTTGGAAAGAAAAACACTGTCTGAGGGAAATGCTGGGTGTTGATTGAAAGACCAAAGTTGAACACACAGAAGGGGGTGGGGAAAAACCAATGATTGGTGGAAAAAGCAAATGAAATCTCATCTGGCAGAGAACTTTGCAGCACAACTCAAGGAAACAGCATTTCCTCTTTCAGCTGCGGGCGCCGCGCAAAGGTCAGCGCCTGCTCCGACCAAAACGGGCACATCAGCCAAGTCCCTCCCTCCTTGGTGGCACGAGGGCTTCTCTCTCCCTCTCTGCCTTTTTTTTTGGGGGGGAGGGGGGTGAGGAGGATGGAAATGAGCACCCAGTGCACCCCCCAGCCTCTCGGGGGTTTATTTCAGCCAAACCAGCACGAGTGGATTTGCCCAAAGCACGGTGCCGGTGGGTGGAGGGCGGTGGCTTTGGCCTGGCTGGGGGCTCAAGTAGTGCAGACACCAGGTGGAGGGACATCTGGGGACAGGAGGTGCTGGTGGTGCGTGGCCAGGGGGGCTCTGGTGGTTTTGGTGGCAGAGGAAATGCTGCTGTGGGGGAGGCAGGCAGCCCAGGCGCGGGACGGAACGGGCCACTTACAGGAGAGAGTGACTTCTCGAGACTTTCCGTGCTCGAGGAGAGCTCCTGGGAAACGGAGGAAAGGGGGGTTTGTTGGCGGGTTTGGGGGTGGTGTTTGTTTGAAAGGAGAGAGAGGAAGGAGGGAGAAGGGGAGAAAAAGCAATAGTTTAGCTCCAGGTTCAAAACGGTCACTTTTCATTGCAGTATTTAACTGTTTTCCCCCCTCCCCAACCCATCTCAGTGTCGCTGCCCTGGGCTCTGGGGTGGGAAGAGGCACCTAAACCAGCACGTGATGTTTCCAGAGGAACGTGACAATTCCATGGATCTCAACCTCCTCCAGTCAAAGCCACCAGACAGGGAGCAAGGCTGCCAGCTCATCCACAGGTTCTATCTCTAAACGCCACCAAACCCCCACAGATTTTCCCCATTTACATCCTTTAAAATGTTCTTCTAACCCAGGAGTGGAACTGAGGCTCCAGCTCTGACCTCCCTGGCTCACACCAGAGGCAGGAGCTGTGGGACAGGCAGGGATGCTCGGGATGATCCTGGCCACGGCAGCTCCTGCTCTACCTCAACACCAGCCTCTCCAACCAACAAAAACACTTCAGTTTTCTCCCGGGGACTATAATTTAGCCTCTGACTTCAGCAGATAAAATTAACTCCCACTGAAACGTTCCTAAAGATTAAAAGGACAATTAAACTATCGCCACATCCAAGCTGAGGTGCACAAACCATCGACCTCCTGTCCCTGCATCCACCCAAAGCTGCTCCCCTCCCCAGCGCCACCCTCAGAGCCCATAAACCCACAGTTTTCATGTCAAAAAGAGACACAATGAAGCTTCACACCCTTGAGACTGGGGTGTGACTGGTTTTAAAAATTCCCTTCCCCAAAAGCAACCAACGGGTCTGGGTTTAGTGCGTTAATTACAGGGACACACCAATTCCACCCGCTCACCCTGTCCACAAGGAACAACCGTGGTGGAATCCAGCAGACCACAGAGAAACCCCAACAGTGCTGAGGCCCCACGAGGCTCATGGGGAAAAAATTCCCCCGAGGATGCTGCACTGGGAGCAGGAACCCCTGAATGATCCATCATGGAGCAGGGAAGCTGGAGCTCCCACTGCCACATCCCAACTCTCCCAGCAAACCACAGCTTGACCCGTTGGAGCTTTGATCTCCTGGACAAGGACCTGTAGCACCAGCAGCTCCTGAGCTGGACCAGGCCCATTGTTCCAGGCTTGAGTGACAGAACCTGCTCCCAGCACAAGGCCTGGATCGGGAGAACAGGAATAACCAACTCAGAGCAGGAATTAATTCTCTTGCTCGGTGTCTAAACCCTCTGGCATAATCTCAGCAGTTCAGAACATGTTTGGAGCAGGTTCCTCCCCTCCTGCCTGTGCTTCCAGCAGTTGCCATTTCAGAGGTAGCTTCACTCCCCAACTCCAAAGGATGATGAGGGGCAGAGCTTGGCCAGAGGACACGGCTGCACAGGGACCCCCACAGCCCCAAGGGCTCCATCATTCCCTGCTCCCTACATTCATCACAGTGTGGCTCTGCCCAGGACACACTGGGGCAGCCAAACCCACTGCCCACCCATGGAAAGACATTTTTGGGGCCTTTGTTCCATATCTGGTGATTTCCCCAGCGAGGGCAGGTGGTCTGACAGCAGCCAGCCAGCAAACCCCAAGAGAAAAGCCCAAGGGGGAAGGCAGCTCAACCTGCAAGTAGATCTAGAGAAGTTTGGGTTCCTCCAGGTGCATCCTACATCACCCAAACCTTCCCACCCCTGCTCCAGCCACCCCAAAGCTTCCTGTGACATCTTGCTGGAACCCTGGGGCACAACCCTCACCAGCCCTGCTTGTGTTATGGGAAATGTAGAAGTTCTGGCTGCAAGACATCACACCAGGATGCCTGGAGGAATCAAGACTTGAGTGGCTGCTGCCACCAATGACCAAGTGGAAACCCAGGTCCCAGGGGATGATGCAGAAAAGGCATAAAACCTCCAAATTCAGCCCCATCCGTGGGGCTGTGGCTCACCCAGCAGTGCTGCCCCCTCAGTGATTTGCCACAGCAGCATCCAAGGTGACTCCCCAGGAGCTGCTCTTATCATGGCAGGGAAACAAGCTCTGCCTGAAAAAGCACCTTTGCTGGCACTGCTGGAGGTGCAATTCCAGAGGTCAAGGGTCAACACTCCTCCACGCCCAACTGGCAGAGGCAGGGCAGGGGCCTGGAAAGCAAAAGCCCAGGATGGGTGTGTTGAGCAACCCCCAAGGAAAAGCAGCTTTCAGAGCCAAGAGCTGTTGCGCACGACGTGGGGCAGAACCGAGGACAGATCTGCTCACAGACCCCCTGTGGCTGCTGCTGAAATAAAACCCACCCCTCTGGGGGGTGTGAAAGCTGCTCCCCCCCTGCCCACACCAGCACCCCAAGTCAGCAGCGAGACACCAGCTCTGCAGAGGCTGCTGCCTCCCAGCAGCCAGCCTGGATTCTTAACTGAATATTCAATTAGCAGCTTTCTAATTAACTTTTTTTTTTTTTGAGATGACAAGTGGAACCAGTTCAGCCAAACGTTCCTGTTCACAGGGAGAAGCCAGTTTGCCCAGCCCTCTGCACCACCAGCCCAGCCCTGGGCAGGTGCTGGGTTCAGCTAAAGCAAATTATTCCCACTTAGAAACAACTGGTTTCAATCCAGGTGGTAAGGAAAAAAAAAAAAGCGCCATTTCCCCCTCCCTGCTCTGAATATTTTGAACCTTGATCTTGGCTCGTGAAGGACCTGAGATGAACCACACCTCTCCAGGCAGGCAGTGTGATTTATTCCTCCCAGCCCCAGGAGTTAAACCACAGTGGGAGGCAGCAGGACACAGGGAGGATCCTCCCTGTCCCATCCAAGGTCTCACATTTTGAGGATTCTGCCCTAATGTTAAAATTACTGAAACTCCAGGACTTGTCACCACAGTCCCAGGTTATTTTTTTTTTAGGGACAGGGTTTAGCACCAGCCTCAGCAGAGGGTTAAACAGTTGGACTTGATGATCTTCAAGGTCTTTCCCAACCAGGAGGATCCCGTGGCTCCTTGGTGCTGCCACGCTGGCAGGGACACCAGGGTCACCAGGGGAGCTGGCAGGGAGATCAGCTGTGGATCAGCACCCGCTGCAAATCCAGCACAGAGGGAACGGGAGGGAAGGAGCTCACAGCCCCGTGGTGGGAATTAACCTTTGCAAAGTGTTTTCCAAAAGCAAGAGCCCAGTGAGGAACACCAAGGGAGCAGCGGCGCATCCCAGGCACGTCCATCCCCCAAAACACCAACACAGCCGCTCAGCTCGGGGGGTGCAGACCCTAGGGGGGCTCGTTCATTCCTGGAGGGGTTGGGAACCCGAGGCCAAGGCACCTGCAGAGGCAGCAACACCCACCTGTGCACCCACCCCAGCCGGGAACTCGCTGCACCTTGACAGTAAATCCCAAATCCCACTGGGTTTGTGGAAGAGGCAGTGCTAGAAACCACCCCCCAAAGGCAGGGAGGGTAAAGTGCAGGAGACCAGACAGGGAACCACCTGTTCTGCTCCTGCTCCAAGACCAGGAAGGGAGCAGGAAGGAGAGGAGCATCCCACAGGGACAGCGGCCACTGCATCTCAGATCATCTCTCTCCTACAACAAATCCTTCTCAGCCTGCCCTGTTCCAGCATCAGGTTCCAGCAAGTTCTCAAGTTGCTCAGGTGGAAAATTCAGTGCAGAGCAGCCCCAGCACTAAACTAATCCAGCCTTTGTCTGTAAATGGATCCGACAACAAGACACACCTGGATCTGGCAGAACACGCAGCTGGGCTGGGAGAATGGCCAAGCCCATCACCACCAACTGGAGGGACCCAAGATGACAGAAGCTTCAAGCCTTCCCTTTGCAGGGCTTGAATTGAAAAGTAACAAACACAAAACAGTCGATACCATCAGAACCAGGTCCTGGGATTACGTGACAGATGCACAACCTGGTGAGGATTAAAAACCCACAGCACTAACAGCATTGATATAAAACCTCTCCTGCCCGTTCTTCGGTGCTTATGCAGCATGAAGTGACAACTGGAACTTAAAAGACCTCACAGAAATAATTACTCTCCAGAAACCAAGTGCCAGAGCTGCAGGTGACCAGGAAAGGGAGAGCTTTGTCCCAGAGGTGACCACTGCTAAGAGCTGCTCCCCACCACGCTCTAAACCCAAGGAGCCTTTAAGCAGCATTAATTCCAGCTCTGGGTCTGACTCAGCTAATCCCAAGGGCAGGGACAGAGGCACCTTTAAGAGCCTTGCAACAGGGAAGACCTGGCACCATGTCCAAGGAAGACATGGAACAAAGGTCCAGGGGAGAGACACAAACCCAGAGTCCAGAGCAGGTGACCTACAGGAAACACAGAAGCAGCCAAAACTGTTCAGTGGAGAGAAGATTTGATGGGAGATGGGAAAATCACCCCAAAATTGTCCAGTGGAAAAAAGATTAATGGGAAAATAACCCAGACAGGCACAGAGGGGGCTGCAGAGAAGGGAACATGGTGCCACCACTGCCTCAGTAGAGGCTCCAGTAAGAGAGTCAGTTTGTAGATTAAGTATTGAATTACAGAATTTGCTGGAATTTACACCAGATCTGCCTGGACCCACCACCACCCATTGCTGGTTTCAAAGAGGAGGGATCAGATCCAGCACTTAAAAGAGGTCCAGGAGTTGGCTGGGGATACTGGGAGGCCAGGGAAGTTCTTGGAGCACCCCAAGTGTCCCTGTTGCTGTGCAGGGAGCGAAGAGCTCATCTGGCCCCTGTATCAAAATACATTTCAGTTGTTGCCAGGAGGAACCCTCCCCAGCTCCACTTTCATCCATCATTCATGCAAAGCTTCAGTTTCCATTATTGAAGCAGCTGCAGGCAGGGTGAGCAAAGAGACCTCGGCCTGTCCTGCTCTCCACCAGCTCCTTGTTTTCCACCCACGGGCAGAGACATGAAAGATTCATTCACCCATCAGCAAACACTGCAACCCTGAGAACCCCGGGGAGTGAGACAGGGTGGGTTGAGCTGAAACCAGCCCAAACAACCGCCACTTCCCACCTCAACACCTCCTCATCCTCAGGAGCCTTCCCCAAACCCAGCAGACAGGCAGGACAGCACGTGGCCCCTTCCAATGATCTATAACCCAGCACGGAGCCAAGGGAAAGGGGGAATCTCAGGCGAGGCAGGAAAGCCAAGGAATGCTGCCACCCTTCCAGAGCAGTCACGAGATCTGGAGTGTCCAGACAGAGCCACAGGGAAGTGGCTTCCAAGGTCTCATCCACATGAGATGACCCAGAAAAGGAGCTGCCTGGTCAGCACAGCTGCCAAGCCCCACTGGGACCAGAACTTAGGACTTATGACCCATTTCTGAGCCATCCCCACAGGAGAGGTGAACCCCCTCCCCGGGGAGCTGGTCACCTCTGGAATCAGGACAGGGAATAAGTGTTTTCCTCTGGTTTGGTACCAAACCTGCACCAAGCACCAGCTCACCCAGCCCTGATCTTTCCCCATCCCAGCCTGATCCTCCTGCTCAAACCCACCAGCCCTTCACAAACAAAGCTGCAAAATAAAAACTCCTTCTTTCCAGCTTCTTCCCTGCAGCCTCACATCCCTCCACCAAGGACGCTGCTCATCCTTCTCCTCCCAAAGTCTCTGTGTCAGCAGATGTGGGAAATGAATAATCTGCGTTTGCTCCAGGAGAAACACTGGCTGTCCCAGCAGGCCCCGACACAGCTGCTCAGCTCCAAAGCCACTTCTGTGCCCAGAACGTTTTGACACTTCAAACCAAACACCACAAATCCCACAGGAGCTGCAAGACACGCAACACTTGTGTGCCTGAGTTCACCTGTGGAATTGTTGTTTGCTTTGGTGTTAAAACATCAGCACCCTGGGAACTGGAAGTGTTCCCCCAGTCCAGCCCCTCTGGCAGGGAAAGCCCAGCTTCCCACTGGTTCTGAGCTGGGAAAAGGCAGAAATCCAAAGCAGAGCTGGGACAGGACAAACCCCAGAGCTGCAGCTCCTGGCCCTCCAGCAGGGTGGGAGCCCTCCAAGCTGCTTTTGGCTGGGACTCCAGGACAGTGGAGCTGGTGGTTTATCTGCTTTCCTGCTCTGAGCTGCCCAGGGCCTCCCTGCCTGCAGATAAACCTCGTCCTTGCTAAATCTGAGCAAGTCGGGACAAGGAGGAAATCAGATTTCCAGCAGTGCTCAGATGGCTGCAGATTGCAAAACAGAGAGGCCAAGTTGCTGAAACCATGTGGGAGTTCAGCGACTCGGTCCTCCTGACCCTGCTTCCTGCCTTACCTTGGAGCCACCCAACATCCCCCCTTCCCCTTAGCCCAGAAACCTTCCCCCTGGAGCCCCAGCACCCTGGAGCACGACCCACCACTGCACCTCCATTTGCTTCGAGGCACAGGAATCAAAACTTCAACCATCTGCAGCAACTAGGACAAAAAAACCCTCCATGGAAGAGGAGGAGCTGTGAGATGGGAACCAACAGCAGGAGCCCAGCCCTGGGACAGCCTTGGAGAACCCCAACATTACCTCCTCCTCGCTCTCGACTTTGGGGTTGCTGGCTGTGCGCTTCAGGTTGCTGCTCAGGCTGATGGTGACGGTGGCGTCTGACTTGGACCTCTGGTGAGTCCTTTTGGAAGGAGACAGCCCCATGTCGGGTGCCGGGCTCAGGGACGGCAGCTCCCTCTTCTTGTGAGCTGGTTTCAACTCGTCCGAGAGGATGAGTTTCCGCAGCTTGGTCCCACGGGAGTGTCGCTGAGTGGAGATGTGCATGTCTGAGGAGTAGGCGCCCAGCAGCAGGGCACACTGCAGGGAGAAGTTGATGCTCTGCCGGCAGCGGTGCACGATGTAGGGCTTGATGGCATCGCCCACGTCCTCGTCCATGTGAATGTACATGTTGAGCAGCTGCGGCAGGTAGAAGTCCACGTCTTCGTTCCTAAAGCAGAACAACCTATTCCCAATGTAAGCCTGCACACCAGGTTCCTTTGAGTTGTACAAGTATGAAATGGCCATGGAGATATCAAAGAGTTTGGACTCAAAGAGCCGGAGGAGCCAGGACTGCTTAGCAGAGTTGTTCTTCTGCCGCTTCCGGGCGGTTTTCACCGTGTTGGCCACGGTCTCATCATCCTCCTCCTGGATCCTGGAGCCCGTGCCTGGAGGATCATCCAAGCACCTGATCTCACAGCCCTCCCCAATGTCCCCGTTGGCCAGGTCCCCTGCAGGACACGGGGAGTGCTCGGCCTCACCGCCGTCGGCCGGGTTGGTTAAGCTGTCGGAGGAGACGCCGTGCATCAGCTTCACCTTCTCCAGCACCTCCTCGCAGGCCTTCTTGGCCACCTCGGGGTCGATGACCGCCAGCTCCCCGACGCCCTCCGTGATGACACTGAGGGAGGTCCCGCCATTCCCCTGGGGCTCCAAGCCTGTCCCTCGGGATGGGTCTCCAACAGAGTCTCCCATAGCAGCGGCGGGTCCGCGCGCTTCAGAGCTGGAAGGAAAGGAAGACAAAAAAGGAGTGAGACCAGCCTGGCAGTGGGAAAACAGGGATCCATGCAGGGATAGGCCTCAAGGGAAACAGAGAGCTGGGGGGAAGCTTGGTGCCAACCTCTTCTGGAAGTCTAGAGAGGGAAGGTGCTCCAAGCCAACACAAGCCAGCCTGGTGCAACGTCATGTTGGGCTTGAGAGGTACTCTCAGTGCCCCTTCCACCCAGAGCTGACAGAGAGCTGTGAGCATCTACCAGCCATTATGCACCATTTTCCTGTTACCATGACGATAAAAAAAACTGAGCAAGCCAAGAATGTGAGAGGGGGAAAAACCCAACAAAGGCCATGCTGGTTTGTGCTCTCCCCCCAGGGACTCTGCACCACCTGGGACCAGGGCCTGGGCAGGCCCCGTGGCTCCGCTTCCCTCACGTTCATCTTCTGCTCAGTTCACTTCCCCTCACGACTGAGAGAGGCCACGGAGCTCCCAGAGTGAGATCCCAGCGAGCAGAGCCTGAGCAGGAACCAGGTTTGTGGCCACAAGGTCCCTGTCCCCAAAGCCCAGACCCTCCTGCCCATCCTCGCCAACAATTAGCACTTAATTACATTTTAAAAAGGAGGTAAATGAGGGACTGGACACACTTCCTCATTCCCCATCTCACTAAAAGAACAGCACTGCGTCTCTGTGGGTGACCCACGAGGAGAAAGGCGGCCAGTGCTGAGTGAAATTGCCCTCTAACAATAAGATAAGGCACTTGATTCACCCCAAGATCATCCCCAGGGCCCTGACTGCTTCCCTGGATGGCCCCGACGCTGCAGCGCGTGACCAGCAGGAGGGCACAAGGCCCCGCACAGACCTGAAGCCCTGCACACAGACTGCCAGTTCCCTCCTGCTTTTCACATCCAGCACGGGAGAAAAAAACTCTGACTTTGGAAAAGAAGTTCACTGAGCCATTTTCTGCCCATCTGCTCCCCCGCAACCCCAGCCCCTGCACCACTGGGGTCTCACAACGAGGTGTTTCCCCATTCATTTAATGACTTGGTTTACATCTGTTAATTTTTACAAGCAACTACAGCTCCTGAGGCGGGAGAAAGGGGCGAGGAAACCTCTGGCATTTCTTCCTAAATATTCCAAGTGAGTGAAAAGGAGGTCGGTGTGTCCAGAGCTGCTGCCCAGAGCCCGGTTTCCTCCTCTTGTTTTCCAAGCACTTAAAGCTCCAACTAGAAGGTGGAAAAGCCTGAGCAAAGTTCAGCTCAGTCTGAACCCGCGTGAATCGCATCTTTCACCCTGTCCACACACAACGTTTCCCTCTGTGCCCGCATTTCCCTTTGGTACAAATCCCACATGCTTCAAATACTTGTGGTCATTAGATCCTAAGGACCTCACGAGCTGAGGGAAGTTGTTTTTCCTTCTCAGGGAGCCCAGCCTTGCCCCAGACCATCTAATTTTTAAATTAACGCCAGGAGAAAGGAGATCCTGGGTGGAACTTGGGATGTGAGGAGGCAGGAGTGGAGCCTGGCCCAAGAAGCAGCCACACAGAGCTCTGCTGGTGTGGGTGGGAGCTCTCTGGGGTCCTTCAAACACTCACACCAAGACAACTGGGGTGAAAAATTAAAATAATTTACACATTTACTGGAGGCATCTGCCAGACTCCCAGAAGTGGCTCCGTAGCCACACATCAGGTGCAGAAGTACCCCAGAGCCTGCAGAGCCTTCCCCAGCCCCTAGGGATTCATCCAGTGCAGGGAAAGGTTTCAGGAGCCCTCCCTGCCAGTGGAGGGGAAGGGGGGGCAGGATCCCATCCTATCCAGGGCAGCCTGGATCAGCCTGGTACTGCAATTCCAGGTGTTAAACCTCCTGCTCAGGAGGGCCTGGATCCGACCTGCCCTACTCACGCACACGGAATCCCGACGGCCCAAGTCCTGGTGAGTGGAGCTGCTCCCAAACTCCTGGATCCTTTGGCACCTTGGCCAGGCCAGGGAGGCCGGGGGGGGCGGGGCAGAACGGCCAGAGCTCCCAACTGCTGAGTGGGTTAAGGATGGATTAAGGAGCTGGGCAGGATCAATCCACCCCTGGGCCTGCGGGGTCACCGCGGCGCCGCAGCCTCGGCTTTCAAACCCAGGAGCTGCTTTTCTGTTTTTAAATCTTTTTTGAGCAGCACTATTTTGCTCTTCAGCCCCCCCGGCCCCTCACCCCGATACTCACACACCCTCTTGGTTGACATCCCAGGAATGGGGCCCAGGCCCACCAAGGTCATTGGGCCCCCTTAGCCACACATCAGGTGCAGAAGTCCCCCAGAGCCTGCAGAGCCTTCCCCAGCCCCTAGGGATTCATCCAGTGCAGGGAAAGGTTTCAGGAGCCCTCCCTGCCAGTGGAGGGGAAGGGGGGGCAGGATCCCATCCCATCCAGGGCAGCCTGGATCAGCCTGGTACTGCAATTCCAGGTGTTAAACCTCCTGCTCAGGAGGGCCTGGATCCGACCTGCCCTACTCACGCACACGGAATCCCGACGGCCCAAGTCCTGGTGAGTGGAGCTGCTCCCAAACTCCTGGATCCTTTGGCACCTTGGCCAGGCCAGGGAGGCCGGGGGGGGCGGGGCAGAACGGCCAGAGCTCCCAACTGCTGAGTGGGTTAAGGATGGATTAAGGAGCTGGGCAGGATCAATCCACCCCTGGGCCTGCGGGGTCACCGCGGCGCCGCAGCCTCGGCTTTCAAACCCAGGAGCTGCTTTTCTGTTTTTAAATCTTTTTTGAGCAGCACTATTTTGCTCTTCAGCCCCCCCGGCCCCTCACCCCGATACTCACACACCCTCTTGGTTGACATCCCAGGAATGGGGCCCAGGCCCACCAAGGTCATTGCTCTGCTCCCTGTAATTCCCAGGGCTCCCCAGCTCCAGCACCTCCACGTCTTCCCGTGATTCCTGTCACCATTTGTCACCCACATCACGACGCACTATTTACCTCTCTAGGCTCAGCATAACTCCCCCATCCCAGCTCCGCGGGGATACAAACCCCATCAGCTGCAGACAGTGAAGCAATCCCGTCTGGAAAACAGGCTGAGCTGAATTCATGTGGTTCATCCTCCACCCACAGCCCTAACGGGCCAAGTTTCTCCCCGGTGAAACAGCCTCGAGGTTGGTGCTTCAACATGAGAGGAAGGGAAGACCCTGCCAGCACCCAGGGGGCAGCCAGATGTGGGTGCAGAGATTCCAGAGCTCCTCCAGGATGGACAAAAACAGAGGAAGAGCTACAGGAATGGAGCTGGGGCTTAGCAGGAAAAAAAGAAAAGTCTCTCTCCTGCCTGACTTGAATAAGAAATATTAGCCCTGGCAAACAACCAGGGGACAGGATGAAGCCTCACCAAGACATCTGGTCTCTATTATCCTGCATTACTTTTTGTTTTGCTCAGCACTGACGGCCTTCGACATCTTGCTGAGCCTGATGGAAGGCCCCAGGAGCTGGGATGGGGCAGAAAATGGGACAGAAAACACCAGGGCAGGGCTGGGGGCTGGAGGAGGAGGAGGCCCTGCCAGTACCCCTGGCCAGGGGAGAGCCCCTGCCCCTCAAAGAGCCCCTCTGGACCCTCTGCAAAGTCGATGCTCAGAGGTTGGGGAAACTGAGGCATGAGGGGATGGTGCCTGAGTGTGAGGTCACCCTCTGCCCACAAACCCCCACTGCTGCCCCAGGGCTGCCCCCCATCAGTTCAGCAGCACCTTGCCAGGGAACCAACAGCAGAGGGGAAGCAAATCCATTAATTATCAAGAAGAAGAGGAGCCTGGAGCCCAAGACACACGGCACCACCAGCAACTTCCCTACTTAAAAAAAACCAACTGTGGGAGCACTAAAATCCCTCTGCCCCAGCCCTTTGGAAAAGGTGTCCTTTGCTGCAGAAGGCCAGGCAACTCTTGCAGCCCCCTTCACACATACCACAGCTGCTGCTCATCCCACAGTTATTCACACCAACACCTCCAACTTTTTACCCTCTTCCCTCACACCTGAGGAACATTAATTAAGATCCCTGGGCAGGAAAGGACAAACCTTCCCATCCCAGCAACCTGCTTCCCAGCTCTTAAACAAGCCAGGCTGGCCCAGCCACCACGGGAAGTTTCCTCCTCCCAGTGATCACAAGGTACTTTGTGCCTTAACATTCCCACACTCGTTTATGTAAATTCAGTATTCCAAGTTGCTGCTGGTACCCACAGTCATCCCTAAAGCACGACTTGAAATAAGCTGTGAAGACAGCACGGAAGGAGGGAAGGCAGGAGCCCCATGTCCCTGGCTCTGATGGCAGCTCCTCTCCTCCTGATCCAAGCACAGCCCCTGACCATCAGCTGGGCTGTATGGAACACACCTTCAATCCCAATCTCATTCCCAAGCAAGAAGCTGGAGACCATCCTCTCCACAGAGCAGAGGGCTGGGCTGACTCCACAGGAGCAGATCCCTCAGCATTCCAAGGAGCAGCCTCTGCCCCAGCCTCTCCTCAGGCCCCCCGGAGGTGCTGGAAACCAGCACTTCCACCCACACCCACTGCCTTCCCCACGTGCTGCTCCAAGTTTCACCACGGGTTAAAGAGAAGTGGGGGTAGCAAAGAGAGGGATCAGGTTGTTATTTATCGTGCTTGGAAGTCCCTGTCAACTCGAAGCAGAAGTTCCGTAAGGAAAAAAAAAAACACAACAACAAAGCACTGAGAGGTCCAACCCCCCCACAAACACATCCCAACAAACCAGCACCCACCGAGCGGGCACCTCACACAACATTCCCGGGCTTTAAGGAGATATTTTGGGGCAATTCCAACGCGCGA